CAGGGTCTCGCTCAGGCTGGTTTCCAACTCCCGACCTCTAGCAATCCACCCGCCTCGGCCTCCCAGAGTGCTAGGATTACAGGCGTGAGCCACCCCACCCAGCAGATATTTCTTATCATTTACATTTGGCTCGTTCCATCCTCTGGTGTCATTTAACATGTTTCTCTAGCCCTATCCCCATATTTTCACATATTCCATAGTTTCACATATTCCTATGGAAGCTCGATTGGACTCAGGTTTAATTCTTTTGGCATGGATACTGCATAGGTGGTGTTATGTACTTCCCATCACATCAGGAGAGTTCACTTGTGTAATGTTAGTATTGATCAGATGGTTTAGGTACTGTCAGTTTGATCAACTTTTCACCTAATGGCTTTAGCAGTTATTGATGATCTATGATTTAGATCTACATTGATGATCTAGATCTGTGATTTCATTTTGGGTTGCAGAATGATAACATCCTAATTCTAGCTTTCCTTTAGCATTTGTTGTCTAGAATTATTTTATAAAGAATGTTCTTCCACTAATTTCTTCTTACCTTGAAATATAGTTTGTACAGGAAAAGCAAGGTACATTCTTGATTTATTCCCTCTTGTATTAGTTTTCCATTGCTACATAACAAATCACCACAAATGTAGCAGCTACCAGCATTGACTATAGTTGACAGCCACAGATGAACGCACACAGCGACTGTAGCCGGCAGCCGTGATGTGAAGGCACACAGCCGAGCGTCAACTTTAGCTGACAGCCGTGATATGACTTTTCTAATTTTTCATTTATCAAAATAAAATTGTGAACATTTAAACATAACATAATGAAAACATATATGTATACATTACCTATTTTGATTTACATTACAAGTAAAGCTGCCTATAAAGTAAAAGAAGCTTTCAGTGCTTTAAAGCTTTCCTCATCACACAAGAGCAAAACGGATTCGTTGTCAGTGCACAGCACAAACTATCGTGCAGACTATGAGTGCCGGCTGTGGGCAAGGTTTCACGGCGGGTGAGCACAGTACTGACATGGTTAAAATAACATTCCACTTATCATAGTGGAGGTCAGAAATCCAGTTAGACTGTGTTTCAGGTCTCACAAGGCCAAAGTCAAGGTGTCGGCTGGGCTGGAATCTTATCTGGAGGTACTAGAGAAGAATCAGCTTCCAAGGTCATTCAGGTTTAGGCAGAATGCAATCCCTTGCTATTTTAGGTCTGAAGTCCCTGTTTCTTTACTGGTTGGCAGCTGGGCCTGCTTCTAGAGGCCATGGGCACATTCCTTCTCATGTGGCCCCCCCCCTCCATCTTCAAACTAGCTAACTAGCAATGGTGTTGCATCCTCACACTTTGAAGTTTTCACTTCCTCTTCTGCCCCCAGCTGAAGAAAACTCTGCTTTTAAAGGGCTCGCCTAAGTTTAGTAATTTGAGTCTTCTCTTGGTCAGTCTAGCTAAAGGTTTACCAGTTTTGTTGATCTTTTCAAACAATCATCTTTGAGTTTCCTTGATTTTTCTCTAGTGTTTTCTATTCTCTATTTCATTTATTTCTGCTCTAATCTTTCTTATTTTCATCCTATGCTTGCTTTGGTTTAGGCTGCTTTTCTTTTTTCAGTGTTTGATGGTGGAAGATTAGATTATTGATCTGTAATCTTTCTTCTTTTCTAATATAGGTGTTGACAGCTATCAATTTCTTTCGAAGCGCTGCTTTAGCTGCACCCAATAACTTTTGATATGGTGTGTTTTGTTTTCATTTATGTCAAAGTATTTTCTAATCTCCCTTCTGATTTCTTCTTTGACTCATTATTTAGAGGTGTGCCATTTAATTTCCACATATTTGTAAATTTCCCAATTTTCTTTGCTATTGATTTCTATTTTCATTTCATTGTGGTTAGAAACCATACTGTTATATGATTTCACTTCTTTTAAATGTATTGAGACTTGCATTATAGCCTAACCTTAGTCTACCTTACAGAATGTTCCACATGCACTTGAGAAGAATGTGTATTCTATATATGCTGGGGAGAGGTATATGGGAATATGACAAGTTAAACCTTCACAAACTCATTATTCTTCCTGAGGTTCAATCGTTTTTCTTGAATGAATGCTCTTCACATTGTTGTAAGCCTTGGGGTAACTTCCAGAGTTCTGATCAAAGTTGGTTTTGACAGATTGCTTTTATGGAAGTGCAGATTTACCAAGGTCTTCACTCTGCCATTCCAGAAACACCACCTCCAAAATACTGTTTTAAAGACACTTGAAATAAATCTCTGTGATTATGGCAGAGGTAATCAGTTTCATCAGATTCATTTGTTTCATCTTCTTTTTTACATTTAGGGAAAGCCTTTCTTCTTGATTTAATTTTTTTAAATTAGATAAATCATTTGCATGTTTCCAAAGTCAAATCTATGAAACAAGATCTATTTAGAAAGATTTAGCTTTCATGATTACCCTTCCCTCTCCTATAGGTTGGCATTTTTAAATTAGTTTTTGGTGTATGCTTCATTGTTTCCTTTTGAAAATAGAAGCATATTGCTACATATAAATATTATTTCTTTTCCTCCTTGCTTTTTCCTTAACACATCCTAGAGACTACTGCATTGTGAAATACTGACCTCATCCTTATTTAAAAGAGTTTTGAAATTTGTAAGGAAAAAATAAGTATTTGAGCTTAACTAAGTCACATTTCGGGTAAATAATGTGTAAATAATGTTTTGCTTACCCATCAGGTACAACATACACTATTCTGGTGACAGGCACACTAAAAGCCCTGACTTAAGCATTATACAATTCATCTATGTAACAAGAACACTTGTACCCCCTAATATTTTGAAATAAAAATCATCCCCCAAGATAATGTTTTATTAAATCTTCAGTTAAAATTCATCAGGTAATTACCAGTACCATTTCTTGCTTAGACCCTTAAATCTCCATGTCATAGTGTTTTATACAAGATGGATAAGAGTTAAGATATCTAAAGAACGTGAACGTAACATATAGCAAGAAACAGATCAATACAAGAATTGGCTAAGGTTTATTTTGGCAAGTTTCTGAAGACACTTTTATTTTATTTTATATTTTTAGAGACAGGGTCTCACTCCATTGCCCAGACTGGAGTGCAATTGCAACCTTTAACTCCTGGGCTCAAATGATCCTCCCACCTCAGCCTCCTGAGTAGCTGGGACTACAGGTGCATACCACTATGCCTGGCTAATTTTTAAAATTTTTATAGAGATGGAGTCTTGCTATGTTGCCCAGACTGGTCTTGAAGTCCTGGCCTCAATAAATCCTCTTGCCTCAGCCTCCCAAAGTGCTGAGATTACAGGCACAAGCCACTGTGCCTGGCCAACATCTTTATTTTAAAGTAATAATTTGATTGCTGTGTTTTAATATGGAAATAGAAATAAATTAGAAAAAATCAAAAGAGTAGCTCTGGTAGGATCTAGCCATTAAATGTCACCAGATTTAGCAAATAAAAATACGAGACACTGTTAAATTTGAATTTCAGATAAACAGCGAATAAATTTTTGTATAGTGTGTCCCAGATATTATACTAAAAATTATTCATTGTTTATATGACATTCAATTTTAACTGGGCCTCCTGTATTTTGCCTAACAATCCTATTTGGAACCCAAATCAGGTAGGTAATATGGGCTTGCTTTTGTGTCCATTGCTGGAATGAAGAAGTAGATTTGGGATGAGGTAGAATCACCCCTTCAAAACTGTTAGTCATAGATTTTTGTGCTGGAAGAAGACTGGTTTAGACATCTTTCTGGCTCATCTTTTACTTTTCCATCACAGACACCCCCACTGTCCAGTCACGCTGAAATATCTGCAATCCCATGCTTGGCTCATTTTGCACATGCTGTTCCCTATGCTCTTTCTACCTCCTTCCATCAGTCTCCATTTGACTAATTCCTACTGACCTTAGAACAAGAGTTTCAGACTCTAATGTAATGAGTGAAGGCCAAATAAAAGTAATATGCCTACTCTCACTTTCTTGAACCAGGTGACCATCTTGGTCTCCCTTTCATTTTTCTACTTCATACAAAGATGTAGGTTCATAAAAATAGTTCTCTACTACAAAGAAACCAACAATTCAGGTATGATGATAAATGGCAAATGATTCTCCTCTCTAATGTTGGGGCAGCAAAAAGTAGTAGTGGGGATTGTTGTGAGCCACTGAACTTTGTGCCCTTCTAAAAAGAGACAGCTTTACTCAATTCTACCAAATGTTGCCATGTAGGAATGCTTGCCTCGTATTGTCAGATCATTTGTGTTTTAAAGAAAAGTCAGAAAACAAATTTGTGTGTGAAATGTTTCAATTTATAAATGTTAGCTTTTTTTTCTTTTTCTAAACTCTAAGGAAGTCAAGTTAAACTCATTATCAGGTTGGATTCAGCTGTATGGCCACCAATTTGAGGTGTTCCATTAAATCTGACATCATTTTTCAGAGGTCTGTATTAAATGCACTTCCTATGGGCTGCACTAACATCTTGTGCATAACTCTATCCGAGCATTGCAGGGTAATTGCTTTCCTGTTGTTCTCCCTGAAAGCAGAATTTTGCATTTCATTTTCTTAACCCCAGCAACTAGCAGAGTGTCTGAGACAAGGTAGACATTCAGATGAATGAATGAGTGAGGGACTAAATGCATCTAGGTCACCCCCTTTATCCAGCTACGAGATGAAATTTTCAAAGGCAGAAAAACACTAATATTCTTTGCCCATCCCAGATTTGGGTAGAAAGGTAAAATAATTACTTTACTTTGGACATAAAGTTAGAAATATTTTGCAGTTTAAGGCTGGTAAACTATGGAAGTTTAATAGTTGATTGCCTCTTGGAAACCACATGTAAAGCAGACAATCAATCAGGCTTCTGGAACTTGGCACCGTTTTATAGTTCTACTTGCAGTGGTTTTAAAATAATGTGACTTATATTCAGTCCAAATGCATTATTGTTAATATTTTATCAGAGAGTTATTGTTTTCCCTTTGAATATGTCTCATTACAGGAGCTGCTGCATTATTAAGTATAAATATACTACATCCAAGGACCAATTTTTCCCACCCCTGCAGTATGAATTTCTGATTGTATAATAGAAGTCAATTGGTAAGTCAAATTCATTTAATCTCAATTTATAGCACACTTTGTTGGAATGCAAGCATTCTTTCATTTGAGGGATACCTGCGTAATCACATAATGTATTTTATGCTCTGCAGCAGAATGAAACAAGCAAATGGAGCCAACTTCATTGTTAACAACAATAGAGCAGCTGCATGGCGACTGTAGATATCACTGGATACATCACCCAGGGACTATCAGCCATTGGTACAATCAAGAATAAATCTTCTAAATTTCCGGAAGGATACAATAGCACATCACATTTATATGCTGTTATTTACATGCCTCTTTTTGATAAATGTTTTAAGTCAAATGTGATGACTGAACATTGTTAAGAAGCAATTATGCTTCAACTCTTCCTACAGAAATGCTACTCAAAGACTAAAGGAGTTTTTAATCTATTTAGGAACTATTTGATGAATTTATAAACAATCATAATTTTTAAAACTGACACATTAGACCGGGCGCGGTGGCTCACGCCTGTAATCCTAGCTCTCTGGGAGGCCGAGGCGGGCGGATTGCTGGAGGTCAGGAGTTCGAAACCAGCCTGAGCAAGAGCGAGACCCCGTCTCTACTATAAATAGAAAGAAATTAATTGGCCAACTAATATATACAAAAAATTAGCCGGGCATGGTGGCGAATGCCTGTAGTCCCAGCTACTCGGGAGGCTGAGGCAGGAGGATTGCTTGAGCCAGGAGTTTGAGGTTGCTGTGAGCTAGGCTGATGCCACGGCACTCACTCTAGCCTGGGCAACAAAGCGAGACTCTGTCTCAAAACAAACAAACAAACAAACAAACAAACAAACAAACTGACACATTAACATGTCGTGGGCGAATGAGGATGGCACATACAGAGCCATCCTCTGCCACGATGCTTAGCTAAAACCTGGTTACAGAGGAAAGCTTTCAGTGGATGAGAGTATGTGTTAGGAAAAATTCACCATAGATATCTGTTTTACCTTTGACTTATATCACGTTTGAAATCATTGTGTTTCCTAAAGGAGAAATTCTGGAGGAAGAATTAAAAATATAATTCATTGTTGAGCTAAAACACTTGACAAAGCAGAGTCTTATTGTAGGTGCATGGGCATCAGTCTTGAGGCAGGACCAGATTCCAGGAGGCTTCTGTGTGGTGCCTTCTCTTCCGCTGTGGCCTGCGCACCAGACCCTGTTTCTGGAGCCTACACAGATACCTCTTGGAAATTAATCTTTGCATGATATTTAGAAAATAGTAGATTTTAACAATTTGAGAATGAGAACATGTACAATGTGAGAAGCTTTGCAAATAGATTTTTAAATGCACTACAAGTTTTTTTCTCCTCCAAGGCAGCTGGGCCTAGAAAATTTCAAGAACAGTGAAGTGGATAGTGAAATGGAAGAAATGTTTTCTTTCTTTTTTTTTGTGGTCATTCTTAATTGTCTTGTCATAAATTGGTTTTTCACTGGGGATGAGTGGTTAGATTAAATCAATTTTTTCCTAAATTGTGGTCTAAGATCTTCAGACAACTGACAAGAGAATGTGGAGGCTTATTAAAAATAAAAATTTCTGGGCCCAGACTTACAGAGTCTCTGAGTCTAACCAATATGCCAATTGCAGCTGCTTCTTATGCACATTAGAGTTTGAGATCCACTGGGTTAGATGCATCCACTGGGTTAGGTCAATCCAAGGGCCCTGTCATCCTACAAAGTTCTGTGAGGCATGGAGGGTCTTTGCAAAGTTAAGTTTGCTGATAACAGAAATTTCTACTCCTCCCTTGCAATAGAGTTGATAAACCTGAAAAGGGCTTCTTGAAATGAGATTTATTAATAGTTAACAGATGAGGTACACTATCTAGAGACCTAGTCATTCTTGGGCTATGTGAACAAATAGCACTTAAATATTTATTCAGGGTATTGGATTTAAAATTGATCAGTCTATTTTAAATCTAGTAACTTGAGACTCAATGAGTCTCATGACAGCTAGGAGGCTGATTTGACATATGTTCCACGTATCTTCTGTTTATTTTCAACAAATCCAAATTAATTCAGGTTAGTTCCCTGGGTGGCCATGAGATTGAAGAAGAGTTTACAGAGAGCCATGTGAGGTCTTAAACATCTTTTAAGGAGGTTGACATAAAGAAGGAAAATAGGAGTTTTTGCTTTAGCAAATCCTTCCTTCCACATGATGGTCAGATTAGAACAACCCCTGCTTCTGATTGGTGAGGCTGTGGAGCAACTTGAACCCTTGTATATCATTGGTAGGAATGTAAAATGGTGCGCCCACTTTAGAAAAATATTTTGACAGTTCCTTAAATAGTTAAATATACACCTTTCCTATAACCTCGCAATTCCATTTCTAGGTATTAACCTGAGAGAAATGAAAGCATACGTTCATACAAAGACTTGTACGGGAATATTCTTAGCAGCTGAGCTATATTCATAATAGGCAAAAACTGGAAACAGATGTCCATCAACAGAATGGTTGAATAAACTGTGGTATATTGATACAATGGAATATACCCACTACTGATATACCTAAGACATAGATGAATTTCAAAATATTATGTGGAATGAAAGAAGCTTTACATAAAAGAGAACATACTGTGTAATTACATTTACATGTTTCTAGGTCTGGTATTTTGCTCTTTTTGCAGACATAGTTCCAGGCTGCTCCACAGAAGAGAATCTGGCCAAGCGCCTGGGCTGGAAATAGCACCCACTTACCGTAATAACCACCATTACTGAATGCTTAAGGGCCTGGGACCATCCTGAAAGTTGGGTATTACTCCTATTTTATGGATGAGAAAACTGGGCCTCAGACAGAGAATAGGACTTTCCCAAAGCCACATAGAAAATATGCGCTCTAGTTGGGTCTATTTCTATCTCAAGACTGTGTTGAAGTCAAAATAAAAATGTAGAGATGAATCTCTAAATTTAATGTTTTATTTGGGAAGAAAGAATTGCAATTCGGGCCATACATGCAGACTGGGTGGTTTTCAGTGTGCCTGAAGAACAAAGAGAAAAGTGGGGGTTTTATAAAAAAGAAGAATGTTACCTGTGGGTCTTGAGAGAAAGTTCACTGGTATTAGTAAAGCTTTGGGGAGCTGGCAAACTCCAATTGGTGGGTGATGGTGGTAGGTAAAATTAGTCTTAGAGTTTCAATAAGTTATCTCAGCAGCTACAGATAAAACAGTTTGCAGGTTACAACAGGCAGTTTCAGCCTCTGGATATACAGAGAATTACATTTCTAGAGCAACGTTATGTACCCTAAGTGCTTTTTCCTCCTGGCTTCTTGACTTTGTTTTAGTTAGGTGTGACAAGGATGACCCAATTCATATGATCAACTTTCACTTCTTCCCCCTTTTGATCAAGATCTCCGAAAGCACCACTGATCAACCATTTTGCAGTTAGGCTTAATTTTCCCTTGGCACCAAGATGGACCTGTCCCAGTTGTCCCTGTCAAAGAGAAGGTATGGGGGATTTCCATCAGGGACCTGGGCCACATTTCAGTAACAAAGAGACCAGAAGGAATTATATTCTCAGGGCAGGTTTTTCTGGAGTCCGGCATCAAACTCTATTTTATCAGTCCATAGGCATCAGCAATCATCTCAAGGTGTTGAGCTAACGTTATCCTGTTGGAAGAGTTGGCTTTACAAAGATTAGACAGAGAATAAGAACAAAATTTAAACACCATGATACATAAAATAACAATATAATATAGCAACAATATAATAAATCTGGTTTAAATAATAGTTTTAAATCATGAACCTAATTTTCGAAGGTAACCAATTAAACTGATTGAAAAGTCCAGACATATCTGATGAGACATCTGGTAGTCACTGAGTAGCAATTTATGACTGGGTTGAATTAAAGCAGAGAATGCCAACTTTACAAACTGGGCCACCAGTACAATTTGAAAAAAATTTGTGTTAAGGATATTGTCAAAGTTTTCCACTTTATGAACTAAAAGGTTTATTAGGTTAGATTTTGTCAAGTTACCTATAACAATTCATGATTGGGAAATTTTAATTACAGCATTATCCTATCAAATGAAAAAAGTAGCATTAAGGAGTTTAAGAGTCTCATTATAATATGGAGTCCTATTTCAATGTCTCAGGAAAAGCTGTTTATAATGTGGAAAACGTCAACTTCTTGTCTTGGTTTGCAGTTTGAGTGTCTTTGGTTATGATATCAGGTGGTTTGGTGACCCTTTTGTGTGGCTCATACATTAGGCACAGGGTTTGTTTCTTAAAATTTATCTAGTTTTAGCTTATAGGGCTTTAGGAACAGAGCAGTTCCCGTTTTAGTAATTTTATGGAAGAGAGTTGGATTAGAAGAAACTACAAGAATTTAGAAAACAATGTACAAAGGTATAGTCTACTAACAGGTGTATTATAGCTTTTTTGGGGGGAATATAACACTTATCTATTTATCTATCTATCTATATATAGATCATATAGGAATCTCAGATTTTAAAACCTCTTGAGGCTAGGAAGCCAAGCAAAAGGCAGACTTTAGAGTTTACTTACAGTCTTAAAGTTCCTGGGCCTGCCAGGAAATGAAAATTTTTATTTATTCATTGTAATGACGGGAATCCTTGAGGTCAGGAATTTTATGCGTATTTTCAAATATGACATTTTACTCAAAGCCTTGGTAATATAACCAATGTTTTAAATTATATTCTGTCACAGAGAGCAAAATTTTATTGGATTTATGTAAATAACCATATTGCTATAAGAATATTTACAAATAGTTTTTGAATTTTTAGAGGAATTAAGAAGAAAAAAGTTTTTAATCTTTGTTTACAAAACTGTATTTTACCAAATTGCTGTAAATTATAGAAAGCCTAAGAGAGAAAAATTCTCTTTAATCTAGAGAACAAAAACACTTAAGTAAAGAACCAACAATGTTTTATATAAAAGTTATAAAAACATTATTTTTACCAGTTATTCAATATCATGTAATAAACTTATATTTTGTTTGATTTCTATTATTAGTTTCATGAATCCATCAGTTTCTTTATTAGAGTTCTGGAAAACTTTATTTAGTCCATCGATTTTAAAGTCATCAGAAACCTGTATTTAAGAGTCTTGTTGGAGTTTTTTCCATGAATCTGATTGAAAATGTTTTAGAGAAGAATTCGAAACAATAACTATGGGTGACAAAATCTTAGAATAGCAATGGCTAAAAATCTGATGAATGTTTACAATTGAGAAGGACAAAAATTTAGTTATTTCTATTA